AGCAATTTTTGGAAACGGACAATATAAAACCAAACCCCAAACCTCAAAAACATCCAAAATATATGTACACAAGTAAACGCATTGATTTGCAAGAGATTAAAAAAAGATTTTCAAAAAAGGTTATTAATGATTCAATGGATAATAAAATTTCTGATAACACGAAAATCCTTGTGAGTCAACCAATTGATCTTGTCGCCATTACTGAAAATTATTAATTGTGAAAAGGTTTATTTTATTAGAGATTTCATATAGAAAAATTTATGAAATTACTGTTATGCATAGATGGTATTTCATTATTGTTATTTGTTAAGCATGACATGGAAAATAATTCCCGAAAAAATAAAAGATATTAAAAGATACCAAATCATTTTTAGTGTATAATATGAAAGTAATTTAACAAAAAGGAATGAATGCTGCTTTGCTCACAATATATTATATGCTAATACAGAAAATTTTTTTAATCTTGAAATATGAAAAAGCAAAAGACAATTTTTGAAAGTATTTTGTTTTGAGGAACTGTTGAATAATGAGTATTTTTACTCAAAAATTCTAAAGATTTAATTGATGGCGTATGAAATTAAGCATTTCGTTTTGATGGTTGATTTTTGAAAAATAAATTCAGCCATTATATTGACAGATTTTGTAAATTTGACCGTTTCGCTAGTCTTCAGATCCCTTAAATAACTGATTAGTCAGTCCTACAAAGTACCCCAAAATCAAGAATCTAATACAAAAATTCATGTCCAACTGATTACCCACCCTTTAACTGATTGTCAGTTGATATGTAATCTAGCGCTAATACATAGTATAAATTTTATGACTACAGTATAACCTCGATATAACGAACCTCGATATAACGATAACGAAGATTATTTCTAATTTTTGTGTTTAAATTAGCCCGATATAACGAAATTACTAATAAAGATTTGATATAACGAAGAAAACCTCCGGCTCCAGAGCTTCGTTATAGCGAGGTTATACTGTATGAATTTCTTAATAACTTATATTGGTGACTTCAACGAATCAGTTATTTACGGAGCTAAAGTTATATAAAAAAAAAAAAACTGTTTTATATTAAAAACCGTTTTACATTAAATTTAAATTTGGTTTCATTTGCCAAATTGTAAAACATATAATCTTCTGACTTATAGATGGAATGATATTAGTAATTACATATTGTTGCTTATATGATCACAATAATTAATGTGTTATAAAACCACCCATGTTACACATGAAACGTGATCGTACTGCATAAATGAATGTATGTTAATGAAGAGAAACATTAAACAAAATAAATTGAAAATAATGAATACAGTTAGATCTCTCTAAGTGCACACTAGTGATGCCAACATAACCTTTTATCATTACTGTGTTTTGAATTTTATCGCATATTTTAACATATATCATCGTTAAAATCGTTAAAATCGTTAAAATGAAAACGATATTACTAGTAATAACTACTGATAAAATATTGATTAAAATTAAACTTTCGAATTACGTAAAGTATAACTATTATAAATTAGACTAGCGTCAAAACAATTAATTTAACAACTTTTACTTATCGCAATATGTCAAATAATATTGATAATAATCCAATGGCTATTAATGATACTGAAGATTGTTCAGTTTCTTCTTCAATTAATAACCAATCTAATTCTGGCGGTCGACCTCGAAAAGAAGTATGGAATGATTATAACATTGGTGAAAAAAATGGAAATTACTTTTCTGTTCGATGTAAATATTGTTCTAAACACTGGCAGCAAGGAGTACCAGTCAACATGGAATTACATTTAGCCAACGATTGTTCTAGTTGTCCACAATACAAACAAAAATATTGGCAGGATAAAGTTAATAATCGACATAATAATTATCAAAGAACTGCCAAAACAAAACATCGCAATTCAGCACACCCAGTTGATAATTCAGAATCTCTTTCTATAGATTGTCAAAATTCGCTTGACCGTGCTGTATTAAAAACTTGGGTTGGATGTGGTATATCTTTTGAAATAATTGATAATTCATTTATGCAAGATTTATTTATGCAACTTAATCCTGCATATCATCCACCTGGCCGTATAACATTATCTAATCGGATTCTTGAGGAGGAAATAACAAGAGTTAATAAGGAACTTACTGCAATTTTTAAAAAAAATGATAATTTAACTTTAAGTAAGTAAAATAAATAAATAATTTATAATATATACGAATAAGATATACTATATTTATTTATTAATTTTTATTTATTTTATTTTTTTATATTTATTAATTAAATTATTAGCCTTAGACAGATGGTCTTCTCCTCAAGCCTCATCAATATACAACTATATTATTACTACAGTTGATCGTAAGGAATATCTTGTAGCACTAAAAGATTATTCTAATCATCTAAATACGGGAGAATTTCTTGCATCTGAAATAAGCACAATAGTAACTTCAATTGGTCTTGAAAAATTTTCTGCAATTGTAACAGATTCTGGAAGTAATTGTAGAGTTGCACGCAGAATTACAAATTATAATTATCCACATATTTTAGATATAAGATGCATTGCTCATTTGATTAATTTGATTGCAGAAGATTTCACTAAAGTTACACAAGTTAAAATATTTATAGAAACTTGTGGACATATAACAAAATTTTTTAACAAGTCACATTTACCTAATCGGTTAATTGAAGATGGAATTTGTGCATTAAAAATTAAAGGTGGCAGATTACAAACTTATACAAAAACAAGATGGTGTTCTTTATGGAATATGACTGATTCACTATTGTGTTTAAGGCCAGTGCTTAATTGGGTAATATATTATATTACAGTATTATAATTGTATATACATGTCAATATAATAAATTATATATTTTTTTTAGATTCAAATTAACTATGAATATAGTTTAACAAATGAACGTGTAAAAAATATAATTAATGATGACAATTTTTTTATAAATTGTCATTATGTTAATCAAATTATGCAGCCAATAAAAATGTGTATTGAAAATCTTGAAGGTCGAACAACAACATTGGCAGACTGTTATATTAATATATTAAAATTGGCAGCCGCAATTTATCAACTTCCAGAAGTAAATCCATATAAATCACAAGCAATAAAGATTTATAATATCTGATATGGCGAACTTAATCATGAAGCATACCTTTTAACTTACTATTTACATCCATTATATCGTGGTAAGTAATTTAATATAAAAAATAAAATCCACACAGAGGTATAACTTTTAAATAAACTAGTTACATAATTAAAATTCAATAAAATAATCAAAATTAAGAAGTTAAAAAATCTAGAATTGCTAGATTTTTCTCTAATAAAATAGTAGTTTGTAAAACAAGCAAAGCTATTCAAATGATAATTTTATTATAATACAGCTGGTTAGTATTATTACTTAATGCCAAATTTGTTTCTAAACTTATTGTAACTTTAAATTTAACCAATTCGCTGAATTATGTTTTACTAATTTATTTATAATTTTCTTGATGCAGGTCTATATTTAATTAAAGTTACTATTTTAGGCAAATTTTGCATCAATAATATATATCTGTTTCTGTGTGGATTTTACTGTTATAATTTAATTACATAAAAAATTTATTAATAGCTATAATATATATAATTATATAATTATTAGGATATGGTCTTAAAAATCATACATTCCGTTTAGCATGTCTTACAGCAATTAATTATTGGAAGGCTCTTGGGCATGATGAAGCTGAATGCATTGACTTATTGGTCGAATTTCGTAAATATATTCGTAATGAGGAACCTTACAATATAGAATTTGATTCTCAAAAAGAATCTTCACTCAAATAGTGGTTAACCCATAATATAACATACCGCACAAATTTAGAAGATTTAGCTGTTAAATTATTTTCAATTGTGCCATCTCAAGCGGCATGTGAGCGGAATTTTTCCATCCTAAAATGGTTTTTATGGAGATCGACGAAATCGACTTACAATTAAACGTATCGAATCTATGGCCAAATTGCGGATGTATTGGCTTTCAGAAATTCGGAAAGAGCTTGAACATTATGGAAAAGATTTGACTGAAGATGAATTGCGGGCATGTGCTGATATGGCAACAATTCCAATTGAATTATCTTCGGAAACTGATATATTTAACATAAATGATACATTTGATGGTGACGAACCTTATATTACAAATTTTATTCTCCCTTTCCTGTTACTCCAGCGAATTCTGATACCCGAAACAAAACTTAATGTCGAAGATATGGTGGATCTTAATTTAACTTTTTTTAATTTTAATGACACGGAACCATATTATGAAATGTTTAAACCACAATCTAAACCGATGTCAAGTAGGGGTCATGGAAATATGGACTTTGAAGCATCGAATATTATTGACGAAGTCTTAGGAGTTGAAGAACAATAATAATTAGCTTTGAAAAAGCTATACGATAGATATAAAGCACTAATATTAATTAAATATCACAAAATAAAAAATAGTGCACAATAAATTTCTTAAGTATGGTTTCATCGCATATATATAGATGTCGCTTCAACAATATAAACAATATAAACATATCACGGCATCACTATTTTTATCTGTAATTATAACTAGTTATATCGTTTGCATTTTAATGATTTTAACGACGATATATGTTAAAATATGTGATAAAATTCAAAACATAGTAATGATAAAACGTTATGTTGGCATCACTAGTGCACACCCTTGGGACCACACTTAACAACGTGCATTTAGATAATAAAATGAAAATGTGCATCGAAAAGCATAGGTGCGCTTGGTCATGTGTTTGGAATAATTCCGGACAGCCAAAGGTGCCGGAAATGAATTCAATTAAAGGACTTTAAGTCCGCAGAATTACATGAATACATTGAATTGGTAATTTTAAGTAATTACAAATTTTATAATATCTCATGATATAGTGATCAGAATTTAATGTTTTTGGTACCTTAGACCCATCTCATCGAGATGGATCGAATTCTATCCAAATTGTTAAATTTTGATCACAAGATCACAGGATATTGATATTTGATAATATTTATAAAAGCTTAGCTCTCTTGATATCTAATAGTCAGAATTTGATTATTTTGATATCATTCGTTCTTCTCGATGAGACGGTTCGAATAATGCCAAGATAATCAAATTCCGATCACTAGATCACGAGATATTTGCAAAAAATGATTTAAAGCGCGGTTCTATACAAAAATTTTTGCACAGAACAGTGCTGCA